AGATAGATAGATAGATAGATAGATAGATAGATAGATAGATAGATAGATAGATAGATAGACAGACAGACAGACAGACAGATAGATAGATAGATAGATAGATAGATAGATAGATAGATAGATGGATAGATGGATAATAACGTCACACACACATATATGCACATATGCAACATACACATCTGTGTATGTATGTGAGTGTGTGTGTGTGTTTACACATGTCTATACACACGCACACACTCTCTCTCACATCATTTCGCTCCCTTTGACATATTAAGCCAATAGTTGGCAGTATTTGCCACTTGTGTTGCCAAAATAGAAATATTTCAGCCTTATTCGTCTCCCCTCCAACATATGCAATTTTCAGACCATAAATAAATATGCATGAGGAAAAGCATTAGTCCCATTTTGTGTAGATGACTTAAATTGGAGGCAGTCGATAAACCTAATTCAGCCCTTGACCTGAAAGTGAAGCCTATGTAGCCTACTCCAGCTGCCAGCAGCCGCAATCCGATAGGCAAATGCGCTCAGGTTGTGTCTACAGACCGATTGCCAGATTTCTCCGTAGAGGACTGGATCCTATATGATCGTCTGTTAGGATTGGTGAGCTTCCGTGAGATTCTTCTCTGACACCCAGGACGGTTTATAAAACAACAGCGATTTTTGAATCTTTCCAATTCACTTCATTCCCCCCCCCTCAGCAGTAAGTCATCAAGGGAAACTGGTTCAATTAGTCCTTTATATATAGGGAGCCTGTCCCATTCTGACCAGGAGATCTTTTCATAAAGCAGCAAGGAAAGCAAGTTGAGTTACAAGCATTTATTTATATGTGTAAATAGTTTTAGGCGTTTAGTGAGACGTAGTGAGGACTATTCGCTGTATTTCTGTAAAGAGGCTGGTGGTTTGATCAGAGGGTCCCTGGTGCAATAGAAGCCCCTCTAGGGTGCTATTTCGCAATCTCAGCCGCTCGCTATTGGTCAGTATGTGATCATATGCCTCTATTTCCTTCTGTCCCTCACTGGCACCCGGCCATCCCCCTTCAGCTAAAACCCAATCTCCGATAAACTACTAATAGCTAAACCACTTGGACTATAAAACACAACAAATCATAAAGCCAGGAAAGACTACAGCCTCCTCCCAATGAGTTCCTATTTTGTCAACTCCACTTTCCCGGTAACTCTGCCTGGTGGGCAGGAACCCTTCCTAGGACAGATCCCGTTATACTCCTCAAGCTATGCGGATCCTTTAAGACACTATTCTGCTGGCTATGGGGCCTCTGGAGTCCAAGAAAAGGGATATGCTTCATCCTCTTATTATCAGGCTAATGGAACATACAGTCGGACAGGCGCTTGTGACTATGGCGCAGCTGGATTTTATAGGGACAAGGAAGCTTCCTGTGCTATGTCCTCCCTGGATGAACAGCCTCAGTTCACCCATGAGCAACGCAAACCGGACTGTGCGCACAGCAAACTGCTCTATGAAGACCAGGACGACGCAAAATGCTCCACACCAGTCTACCCCTGGATGCAGAGAATGAACTCCTGTAACGGTACGTTCCCTTCACTTCTCTCTCACTTCTTCTTCCCCCGTTTACTAGAGCTAAGGCAGCCATAAATCACCCCGGCTGCAGCCAAACGTGCATGCCTGTTTGATACTATGCCATGGAGGCTCTGCAACTCTTTCCCACATGATATAGTTTGTTCCAACTTTACATTTCACTGAGATTCTGCTAAACAAAAACAAAATGACATTATTTCCACCCTTACCGGGCATACTTTTTTTATTCCACCGGTATACCCTATGTAACTTTAGTCTAGATTGTTCATACTTCTATAGTTACATCAAGACTCAGGTCTGTCACATTTTGCGCCTCTTTTTCATCCTCCTTCTCTCTCTCTCTCTACTCTCTTTCTCTTACTTTAACTCCCTCTTTTCATTTGTTTCTGTGTGTCTCTCTGGTTTTTTTTGCTCTGTCTCTTTTTCTCTCCCTCTGTTTTACTCTCTCTCTCTCTCTCTCTCTCTCTCTCTCTCTCTCTCTCTCTCTCTCTTCTTTTCTCTGTCTGTCCCTCTCTTCCTCTCTAACTTTCACACTCTCTCCCCCTCTGTTTCACTTATTCTCGCTCTCTTTCCTTTTCTCTGTCTGGCCCTCTCTTCCTCTCTAATGTCCACTCTCTCTCTCTCTTCCTCTGTTTCATGTATTGTCTCTCTCTCTTTCCCTCTCACTCTCCAACTCATCTTCTTTACCTACACATTGATATGAATAGCCATAAGCACGCTGTACATGTACATTACGTGCATTTAAAGAGATGCCTTACAATTACACACAAAGTTCAGTGTAATGAAGGAGCCCCAAGAGATAATTTAGACAAGTGACTTATCAGTTAAAAAGCATTTCCCCCACTCAGTCCAAGACTGAGGGGTCCCCACATTTCCTCACTGTATTTGTGTTTGTTTTTCCTTTCAAGGCTGGACCTGCTGCCCATTAGTCAGGATATAAAGTGCTGAATCCATTAATACACAGCTTGTGACGATCAATATATTTCATTATCACTTAAATGATCAAATCTATTATTGTAACCGCTTGGAGCAATCCGAAGAACATCTTGATCTATTGAACACCAAATATTGCTCTACACAAGCTGACAATACTCAAAATATGACACTATAATAGCAACTGCATACATTTTTGTCTTCATGTATGTGGTTATCTTTTTTTTTGCATGTGTTTGCCATATAAGAACACAGAAAAT